TGGAAATGCAAGTGTGTGAATGTCGCTCACCTGCAGATGAGCGACATTCCATTCGTACACTTAGGGGGCTAAAGGTGTGAATTTTTCCTAGAAAATTCACACGTTTACCCGAGGGGTCCGCAAGTACGGTCTGCCGGTGTACACATATGGTGGGCTTCCTAGTTTTCCTAGGTTTTCCTAAGGTTTTCCCGGTCTTCCCAACTTTTTCTTGGTTTTCCCAATATCTTGGTTTTCTGAGATTTTCTAAAGGCTTCCCCCAGTTTTATGCGGCTTTCTCGCATTTTCATCGGTCTTCCCTGACATTTCCTGGTCTTCCTTACAATTTCTAGGTCTTTCCTAAAGTTTTTCCGGTCTTCCCTTATATTTTTCGGTTTTCCGTCACGTTTGTGGCCTACGGTTTTATCGGTCTTCTACGGTTTTCTTCAGTCTTCCTAGTGGTCTTCCCGGTCTTCCCAGTTTTCCGGGCGGCCAGTGTACACGCTCGAACCTAGTTGCGGACCCCTCGCGTTTACCCCCCTAAGTGTACGAATGGAATGACATTCACACACTTGCATTTCCAGTGTGAGCTAGAATGCTCTTCTTCGAACTCGATCTGTCTTTTTATGATACAAAACGGTCCTGAAAATCCCAGGTCGCTAAAAAGCAATAACAATAATTAGTTTGCTGCTGTAAAAATAAACACTTTCATTCCTCTTTACTTGATTATTTGTCGAGGTGTAGATGACTCCTCTGCTAGTGTACACCCCTAGTTCTGTCCAATAGGGTATTTCGGGTAAGTGAAGCAGCGGAAACGGAGCGGCCGAGCCGCTGCTGGATCCGTCTCAGCCTGCAAACTGCACTTGCGCATCATAAACTGCGCCGCCCCGCCGCCTACCCCTGTCCCACGCGCATCAGCAGCAGGGATGCAACCAGCGGTGGACTATGGGCAGTTCCGTTTCCGCCGCTCCGCTTACCCGAAATACCCTATACAAAATATAATTCTAATCAATTCAATTAATAGGGTGTCCCTTTAGAGCGTGGAGCGGAACTAAGAAGAACAAGAACGGATACAGAGAGCGGTGGTGGGGTGGTGGGGGCGGGCGCGCGGAGGAGCGGCGGACGGGCTGGGAGGCTCCCCTACCACCCGCCGCCCCGGGGCCAATCGTCAATTTGGCGCCCCCGTGCCCATAATCCAAAATAAGTGGATTTTCTGAGTATTTTCAAATTTTTTAGATCGAAAACTGTTTTTTTTTTTGGTGTGATATGTGCGCACAAGCACAAGCGTATAGGTTAGGCCCGGTCATCGAGGGGTCATGACCTCTTTCTCAAGTTCGACATACGGGAAAATGATGCCTGTTCTACCAAAAACAATGCAAAAATTGAAAGAAAATTCTCGGATAGACTTTAAGGGTCCCTACAGGGCCGTTTAGACTCAGCTTAGGCAGCCCGCAATACACGGCCGCTTTTCGTCCGTTTCCACGCT